GACTGGCCACCACGGCCAGCGTACATGGCGACCGGGGCGCCATTCCCGGACTCCATCTCAAACTCATCTCCCTGGATGAAGTCCTGGGCCTGCAGAAGATCGCCGAGCTGAGATAGCGTCACCGGTGTGCCGGTCACGGTGAGAGCACTCGCCATGGCCCGGAATTCCGGGCGAAGCCCCCTCAATACGTAGAGTACCTGTTCGTCAAGCGTGAGCCGATGGCCAGCGAGGGACAAGGCTTCGACTAGCATCTTTGCCTTCCCGAGATACTCCGAGGCCGACATGCTGCCTTGCCGGAGCGTCTGAAATTGACCGAGCAGATTGAGACACCTAGCTCGTGTGGAGGACGCCAGCGAGTCATTGATGGAGAGCCATACCTCGCGTGACGTTTCCCGGCCAACCGCCAATGGCATGACCTCGTCGGATAACGACGAGATCAGAAGAGACAGGATCAGCTGGTCCTGTTGAACCCACGCCGCATGCGCCGGGTTGACTTCGGAAGATGCGGCTGCGGTGGTGCCGGAGCCGGCTGCCTGTGTCGTCTCAGGGAGGAACGCCGGCGGGCAGACATGGCTGCCGTCAATATAGCCTAAAAGGCCTTGGCCACATAGAAAAGGGATAATCTGAGTGCGCCAGAACAAGAAATTACGATTGTTTAATTTTATTGAGACAAAGTGATGCGCTGCGTTAAGGGAATTCCCAGTTGTTTGTGGTGGAGGGGTGGTGGTTACGGTGCGTTCAGAGGAGTTTGTCGACATGGTTAGGTGGTGGAGAAAAAACAGGGTAGGATTCCTAGCCTGACGCTAACTGATACCAAGTGAAACAACGCAAATCTCATTCAAACTGGAAAGATGGTATACAATAGAGTCCTATAGGAAAGCTACCACTAATAGCTCCTATCTTACAGCAAAGACTAGTCAACTACAATAAAAGCCATAAACAAATAAACCATATAATATAACATTACTTACACAACTCAGTCACGTATGATAAATAAAATAAATGCTATACATGCATGATACATATACATATACATGTGTGTGTATGTACATAATGCATGTTGTTGGAAAATTTCAAAGGGAAATGAAGGGGTGGATAGCGCATCATGCGCTATTAATGTGAAACAGCGCATATTGCGCTTATTTGTGGATGATATGCGTCCTTCCTTTTGTGGAAGGGACGGGGGGGCTGCTTACTATAAATAGCAGCTCCCAACATCGTTTCAAAACACACCTTGAATTCGAGTCCTTTATTCGATTCTCCTTCTCCCTCCCGTCGTCTGAGCAATAGTGAGGTTCGCCTACGCGATTGCTAGTGCAAGCTATCCGTAGTAGGTCTGTGTAGCCGGTCGAAAGCGTGCCAGGGTTCTAACTGCACCGTTACCCGGCAAATAACGCTTTTAAGGTAGTGTTATTATAACACGGCACATATTTTCTTTCTACCATACATCCGTAGTGTCCGTGCGTCTTAAAAGGCTTCCAGATCGCGCGTTGGCGTTCCAAGTTTCCCCAACAGTTAAAAGCGTTATTGTGCAACAGTCAACGAAAATCAAAGTGTCAGAACCGTCTACAACGAAAGTAGTAGAAAAATCAAGAAGTTTAAAGGGAGGTGTTTTGCGTGCAGAAAGCAAGGACACCGAGCACACCAGTGCTACCATCACAAGGGCAAAACTAGCAAAAGTCAATTTGACAGAGCAAGATGAGTATTGAGTCTCTTTAAATAAATAGTTATTTTGAGTAACTATATTTGCTCTAGTTCTAAAGGGTTCGCATGAAGTATGGTTATCTTAGTACTGAATTCTAGTTGAGCTGTCTAGATTTTGATTACGTAGTAGTACTTATTTCTTTAGTATTTTGAATACTAATGACATTAATTGAAATAATTCGTGCATAGATATATGCTCTTAATTTTATATCATAGGCTTCAATTGTAATTTAGTGAGAACATGGAAAAGTCATCATTCTTGAACACTCTGTCTAGGAAGATGGTTTTTAAGTAAACTTCGGTTTCACCACTCGACCTGGGAGTTTTAAGAAGTAGGGTGTTGATCATGTAGGCTAGTTAGAGCGCCACTTGATCTTTACCTGAAATGAGGATGACTTTCATATGTTGCTAATACAATCAAAGCCTTGCAATAAAAGTTGTTGAAGTACTGCAATAGTAATATTGATCTGCATCCCATGAATGCTTTATATGAGTTTTAAATTCCTTAAGGGAAGGAAAATTGTGCTAGTGGCAACTCTGAAGTCTCATTGTTGAGAGATATTCCGAATAAATATGAACTTAAACATATTCTTTTTGTATGAGATTAATTTCTTATAAGAATATGATGTGAATTTTGTGATTATGTTGTTCAACTTGATGTAGCATGTGGACAACATTATTTCTATAGCTTACTAACAATGAGCACTTGTATATATATTATTTAAACTCTTGGTTGAGTCATATTGAAATACCTATAATTCCTAGTTAAAGGGTAATTGTGATCAATTGAGATAACCAAGTTTGTTGAAATATATTCAACTGTTGAGCATGTATCAGGCAGAGTGCAAAACTGCTATAATGGTTCACAAAGTAAGTCGGCAAAACTCAGTCTACAAAGGAGCTAAAGTTGGGCACCAAATATCAGTCTGGGTAAGAGATCAAATACGTTTGACAAAATTATTTGTAAGTGTTGCTTGTGGGGGTAATAAACTCATATTTTCATCAAAAGTTTCTTTGTGGTATTGAGAATAATGATGAAAGAGAATGTTTCATGTTAAACATGAAAATCTCAAGAGATTATTTACGAGTAAACGAAGTACTCGTCAAAATGCATGTAAGTTTGGTCAAAAGAATCAACTTACTTGAGGGCTAATGATGAGGATTAGTCGTTGACTCATTGGAAGGACTTGAAGTCCAAGTGGTAATGAATTCGTGGTGAATCCCACTTCTGTGGTCAAACGAAGCCATGAAAAGAGTTACAAAATAGTACACTAGTTGGTCATTCCGACAGTGTGTGTACTTGTGAGGTTGAGCTACAGCTCTTAATGAATTCATAACTCTTTGAGAAAGGGTGGTTTTATTGAGACAAACCTAATGAATTCACCGCATGTGAGGTTGAGCTACAACTCTTAATGAATTCATTACTCTTTGAGAAAGGGTGGTTTTGTTGAGACAAACCTAATGAATTCACCGCATAATGACATGAGTACAAAGTGCTCTTGGTTCCTTATACTCAATTGGGATGGTCTATGTTGAGATAGACCTAAAGAGATCCCTAACTTGAGTGGAAAAGGGCTACCATGGTCCATGTTGAGATAGACCTAAAGAAATCCCTAACTTGAGTGGAAAAGGGCTACCATGGTCCATGTTAAGATAGACCTAAAGAGATCCCTAACTTGTGTAGAAAAGGGCTAACCGCCTCTTATGAAAGATAATAGGGGTTATCCCAAGAAGCTGAGTGGCTAAGAAACATGGTGATAACCGTGTAATTGTGGGGGTGTCCAACACCTTCACCACATTGTGATTCACGAACTGTCATTTGTGTTGCGCAAAACAGTGTCTACAATGGGAAACGTAGACACATAAGAGTCAGACATGAGTCTGTACGGCAGTTAACAATAAATGGGGTAATCAGAATGGTTTTTGTGAGATCTGAAAGGAATATTGCAGATCCTTTCACAAAGGGCCTAAACAGGAAGGCCGTCCTTGATACATCAAGGGAAATGGGTTTGGGACCCATAGATACTCTGTAGCCGGTCATGGTGGTCTGCGATGAGGTAGACTTGACAGAGTTGAAGGTCTATCCTAGAATAGACCTAACAGGGGATATCTCAGGGTCGTGAGTATGACCTCATGAGATTCAAGGCGACCAAAGCAAATTAAGTGCGTTGAGTTCAAGCTTTGTCTATTCGATGAGTTCAAGATCAAATTCACTCCCGTCTAGAGAAGTACTTAATGTCACTATATGACAGTTCAAGTTTTATACACTGGCATGAAAATTTGTTTTGATCGTTATCAGGCAATGACAGCGTTAGCCTAAATCCCTTTAATGGTGGGGGATTGTTGGGAGCATTTAAAAGTCTGTTTTGTGATAGACTTTGACAGGGTAGAAGTCCATATTTGAGACAGACGTAACATTCTTTAATACTAAGGGTGTTCATAAGAAGTCAAAGAGTTTGACTTTTGTAGAACCTGCTTTTTGAGTTGGTGTGTGCATTTGAGTTCAAAATTTATCTACCCGGTGAGCTCAAGATTAACATCACTCCCGGGAAGAAGATTACTCAGTGTCACTAGGATCAACTCATTTGTATTGCTCAGATCTTACTCTTTTTTTCCCCTTTAAATTTGTGGGGGATTGTTGGAAAATTTCAAAGGGAAATGAAGGGGTGGATAGCGCATCATGCGCTATTAATGTGAAACAGTGCATATTGCGCTTATTTGTGGATGATATGCGTCCTTCCTTTTGTGGAAGGGATGGGGGGGCTGCTTACTATAAATAGCAGCTCCCAACATCGTTTCAAAACACACCTTGAATTCGAGTCCTTTATTCGATTCTCCTTCTCCCTCCCGTCGTCTGAACAATAGTGAGGTTCGCCTACGCGATTGCTAGTGCAAGCTATCCGTAGTAGGTCTGTGTAGCCGGTCGAAAGCGTGCCAGGGTTCTAACTGCACCGTTACCCGGCAAATAACGCTTTTAAGGTAGTGTTATTATAACACGGCACAGATTTTCTTTCTACCATACATCCGTAGTGTCCGTGTGTCTTAAAAGGCTTCCAGATCGCGCGTTGGCGTTGCAAGTTTTGAATGCACACGATTTGTTCTCACGTTCCCACCTAAGTAATTGTTCTCATTGGAACCCTCTTTTATATATATATATATATATATATATGCATGCAACTCAGTCACGTATGATAAATAAAATAAATGCTATACATGCATGATACATATACATATACATGTGTGTGTATGTACATAATGCATGTGATCTTGAATGTTGAGAGTCATCTTATTATTATTTAGCCACCTCGTCCGGCGCCCCCATTCGACTGGCCACCACGGCCAGCGTACATGGCGACCGGGGCGCCATTCCCGGACTCCATCTCAAACTCATCTCCGTGGATGAAGTCCTGGCCCTGCAGAAGATCGCCGAGCTGAGATAGCGTCACCGGTGTGCCGGTCACGGTGAGAGCACTCGCCATGGCCTGGAATTCCGGGCGAAGCCCCCTCAATACGTAGAGTACCTGTTCGTCTAGCGTGAGCCGATGGCCAGCGAGGGACAAGGCTTCGACTAGCATCTTTGCCTTCCCGAGATACTCCGAGGCCGACATGCTGCCTTGCCGGAGCGTCTGAAATTGACCGAGCAGATTGAGACACCTAGCTCGTGTGGAGGACGCCAGCGAGTCATTGATGGAGAGCCATACCTCGCGTGACGTTTCCCGGCCAACCGCCAATGGCATGACCTCGTCGGATAACGACGAGATCAGAAGAGACAGGATCAGCTGGTCCTGTTGAACCCACGCCGCATGCGCCGGGTTGACTTCGGAAGATGCGGCTGCGGTGGTGCCGGAGCCGGCTGCCTGTGTCGTCTCAGGGAGGAACGCTGGCGGGCAGACATGGCTGCCGTCAATATAGCCTAAAAGGCCTTGGCCACGTAGAAAAGGGATATTCTGAGTGCGCCAGAACAAGAAATTACGATTGTTTAATTTTATTGAGACAAAGTGATGCGCTGCGTTAAGGGAATTCCCAGTTGTTTGTGGTGGAGGGGTGGTGGTTACGGTGCGTTCAGAGGAGTTTGTCGACATGGTTAGGTGGTGGAGAAAAAACAGGGTAGGATTCCTAGCCTGACGCTAACTGATACCAAGTGAAACAACGCAAATCTCATTCAAACTGGAAAGATGGTACACAATAGAGTCCTATAGGAAAGCTACCACTAATAGCTCCTATCTTACAGCAAAGACTAGTCAACTACAATAAAAGCCATAAACAAATAAACCATATAATATAACATTACTAACACAACTCAGTCACGTATGATAAATAAAATAAATGCTATACATGCATGATACATATACATATACATGTGTGTGTATGTACATAATGCATGTGATCTTCAATGTTGAGAGTCATCTTATTATTATTTAGCCAATAATTATGACCAAGTAAAATTTGATCCATTTTGGTACCTTTTTCCCGATTAAATTAAAGACTTTCGTTTTTGTCTTCATTTTTAGCATTGATCGACAATGACAATCCTATGGATCTCTCTTACTCTCTGAGATACTAAAGAACAAAACGAAGTGGAAAAGGTCAAATGAAGAATAAAGTTCATTTTATTGGGAGGAGAAGAAAAGTTCAATTCATTTTATTCATTTTTTTTTTTGAAAATAATTCATTTTATTCATTAGTGATCATAAATGACGACCCCCTGGCTCTTCTCACATTAAAAAAATAATATATTTATTAATTAATATAAAATAAAAAATTAATGACCGTTTTGATCCCTCGACTATGTCGTAATTACCAAATTGGTCATAGACTATCAATTTTTGACCAATTAAATTTTCAATTATTAATTTCCTAACCGATTTGGTCCCCTGTAATTACCAAATTGGTTCTCGGTCAGTTTGACGGAGGACCAAATCGATTACGAAATCTATAGTTGAGAATTTAATTGGTTAAAAACGTTAATTCTCAAAATGATCCTCCGACTATGACATTTTCTCAAATTAGTTCCTTGACTTTTAATTGCACCTAAAGTGGTCATCCGACTATTGAATTTTAAGCCAAAATGGTCATTCGTTAGTTTTGGTGTTAAGTAGGTGTTAAAATGAAGGCCAACTTAAAGCAATTTGTCACCCCCTTTTCTTGTGCTTTGAGACTTGTACGTTGCTGATATAAAATGTGGAGTAAAAAATTAAGATTTTTTTGTCCAAGAAGTTACCGTTCAATATGTGGGGTTTTATCAGGTTGCATTATTGTAATCAAAGCAAGAGTTGGTATATATGGCTTAGAATTTTCTCATTGCTTAACAAATTTTCATTTTTTTTTATCTTCTTCCTAAATTTAATATGCTAATTATTAAAACAAATTAGTTTAATAGTGATATTTTCAATTGGCAGAGGGGTACCCAAAGACCATACTAGTTGTTTCCCGCAGCCCTTCTCGAGGAAGGAATTCCCATATAATTCTCATGAAGCAGTTCAAGAACTAGAGGCGTGTAACCAGTTAACCGTTTAGTTAATCGAATTATTTTAACTGAAATATTTAAAAAAGACTTAATCATTAATTGAACTAAACTTTGTATTACTGAATTAATCGAATCGAAGTTTTTTCAATTAATCGATCGGTTAACCGATTGATCGAAATTTTTTAAGATAAACTTTTAAATCTTTAAAATAATACATATAATAATAAATTTAAATAAAATAATACCTATAATAACAAATCTATAATAAAATGTACAAACACAATATCATAACAACACTACAAACATAAAAGCACAAACTATAAAGTCTAAACATCCATATATATATATATATATATATATATATATATATATATATATATATATATATATATTGAGGATCATATGAGAACACTTGCTTAGGTGAGAACGCGAGAACAAATCGTGTGCATCCTTTTAATTTTTTTTAATGGTTTAGATTAGATTAAGTGTGTGCGAACGCGAATAAAATGTATGCAAACGCACTTAATCGCGTTTGCACACATTTAATTCGCGTTCACACACACTTAATCTAATCTAGACCATTAAAAAATATTAGATGGATGCACACGATTTGTTCTCACGTTCTCACCTAAGCAAGTATTCTCATAGGAACCATACTCTCTCTCTCTCTCTCTCTCTATATATATATATATATATATATATATATATATATATATAGGGATGCACTCAGGTGCGAATAAGCGCCCAGGAAGGAATATGCGAACGAATCAGCGCGCGACACGTGTCCAGATCTAATAGCTTAAAAAAATGCGGTGGCATTTTCGTAAATAATTGAACATCGGAGTACAAGTAAAATCACTTACAAATGCACTTATTTTCACCTATAAGTGCATGTAATTTTGCCTTGTTAGCATTCACTTCCCGCAAACATTCATGCACCTGGGTGTGCTTATAATTATAAGTGCAACTATTTATAACTATAGTAGCAACTACTTATAACTATAGGTGCACCTACTTTCACCTATAAGTGCATGTAATTTTGCCTTGTTAACATTCATTGATTTGAGTTCAGCGGGTAGTAATAGCACTGAAAACCACCCGCAAACATTCATGCACCTAGGTGCAATTACTTATAACTATGTGTGCAACTACTTATAACTATTTGTGCAACTACTTAGAACTATTTCTGCAACTACTTATAACTATAGGTGCACTTAGTATTGATGCTCAGTGTAAATTTTTACTTGCACCTATAATATATTTTACATGCACTTGTAATACATTTTACTTGCACTTCGATGTTCAATTATTTACGAAAATGCCTCCGCGCTTTTTAAAAAAAATAAATGTTTCTCATCTGTTAGACCTGGACACGTGGACAAATAGAATCCATTCCTATTTCGCTCCTGGGCGAAGCATTCGCACCTGAGTGCGATTATATATATATATATATATATATATATATATATATATATATATATATATATATATATATATATATATATATATATATATATATATATATATATATATATATATATAGTGAAACTTTGGAAGAATGATCAGAGATCGAGTCTCACCAGCGGCAGTGTGGGAGCTACCTCTCAAAGTGAGGGGGGTTCCTTGTGCGCAGTGAGCACCGGTCTAGCCTCTGTGGTTCATGTTCAGTTGAGTTACCATGATTTACATCCTCCCAAATGATTTACATCCTCCCAATTGTATCAATCCTGTAACACCCCAAAATTTTTAAAACTTTTCAATCTTATAATATGAAAGCAATTCTATTAATTAATTCCAAATAGAGTATTTTGAACATAAGGGTCTGGGGTGTTATGCCACATCTGAGCTGGAGAAATCGGACGCACAGGCTACATTAACTAATTATCCTCAAACAACGTTATTACATCATCGAGGCATGCAGTCCGAAAGGAAAGACTAACTATCTAAGTCGAGGTCCTCTAGCGCGCTCCGGTGGCTAATCATCTGTGCCTGAAAGCCAAATATATCTGTTCAGCGAATAATGCTGGTAACCCACTCCAACGCGTTAAAATAAAACATAGGTATATATATATATATATATATATATATATATATATATATATATATATATATATATATATATATATATATATATATATATATATTGATAGTACTAATTCACCCGGATGTCGGTTACATGTACTAAATATATAAAATATATGTAAACAAAGAATGAATCAAGAAGAAACAAGAAATAGTTAAACCCTCCTTTTATTAATGTTCTGTTCTTTTCTAGCTATAGAGAGAAAGAAGAGGATATGTAGAGAGGGAGAGAGAGCCCAAAGATAGGACCCACAGATGGCCAAAATGGCCTCTCCTCACTTAGAGGGCTAAAAGCCATTTTATAGGGCCACCGAGGTGGCGGGTTTGACCCATCTCGGGTTTGACCCGTCACTTTTGACCCCAACCCGTAGGTCAAGACCCGAACCGCGAGACCCCGACCCGACTATAAGCGATGGCACGGACCCGGGGTATATAACTTATCTTAAAGCCCCCACAGCCCGTGCTCTGACGACGAATTAACGAGGAAGGGTTCGGGCTGAAAAAACGGGTTATACGGTCCGTGACATGTGCCGGTTGCCTCGTTAAAAAACCTTAGGCTAATCAAAAAACCCAGTGAGAAAAACTTTAGTCAAGGGAAAAAGAGTACAACGCTAAACACGGTCTAGTGGACCGAAAGGGAGCGCCCGACCCAGTGGTCGGACTTCAACGCAACTTGCGAAAGGTCGAGCCCAACCGGTTCAAAGACCGGATTGCCGGGCACGACTAGGATCCGGAGATCTATCTAACCAACTACGGGGTTGGATTTGCTCACGATCGAAAGATTGAACTTACTCCGGCGAAAACGCTACTCGGGCGAAACTAAAAAAGCGATCGGGCGAAAAGAACATGTTTCGACCGTTTTGACCGACGAACGCGCTACTCGGGCTGGCGCAGCCCAGACTCCCGTAGGTGCGAGAATCGTCAGCACAAGGGAGTGGATACGACGGGTTGCCGATCGGGAAACGATATCGCGGTCGGAAAATGACTCGACCGGGTCAGCGATGCGAGTGCACCCGGCTACAACTACTACGTCGACGATCAGGAAGGATATCGCTAACAAGCGGTACATACACATCACTAAAAAAGCGGTAAAACATCGCACAAAGAAGGCAAACACATCGCTGAAAAGCGGCATCGCTAAAAGGCGGTAAACACATCGCTGAAAAGCGGCATCGCTAAGAAGCGGGGTAAATACATCGCGCGGCATCGCCCAAAGGCGGTATATACATCGCTGAAACAGCGGCATCGCTAAGAAGCGGATAAATACATCGCGCGGCATCGCCCAAAGGCAGTATATACATCGCTGAAAAAAGCGGCATCGCTAAGAAGCGGGATAAATACATCGCGCGGCATCGCCTAAAAGCGGAAACAACATCGCTAAAACGCGGCATCGCTAAGAGGCGGAATAAATACATCGCGCGGCATCGCTTAAAAGCGGAAACAACATCGCTAAAACGCGGCATCGCTAAGAGGCGGAATACATCGCGCGGCATCGCCTAAAAGCGGAAACAACATCGCTAAAACGCGGCATCG